CTGGCATCCCAAGCCAGTTCTTAACCATCATGCCACTCGGCCGGCCCAAGATGAGTATTTTTTAATTGTCCCACTTTATCCAAGAAGGAACAGAAGTCTGCAGAGGTTCAATAACTTGCTCAAATTTTTACAACTGGGTAATGGAAAATTGATATTCAAACTCAGGTTCTCTGGCTCCACTTATATTTCTGAAATTGGTACCCTGAGCTACCTTCAAAGGTTTGGCTGAGATGTGTAAGTCAGCAGTGCCACAAAATCCAATGAGAAAGGCAAGGGAAGTAGGTGAAGAGTTGGGGCTCTCAAGAGCATAGTCATTAACCACTGCGGTTCTGAAACTATCGTTTTGGGTTCAGCCAAAACATTGGACTGGCACCTTCATGTACCTAGAGGCATGCACATGTACCTTATTTTAGGCATGCCACCCCTATTTTAGCCAGTCCTCCCACGGTCAACCCAACTCCTTTGGTGTTTCCTTTCTCCTTTAAGGCTGTTGTGATTTCCCCTACATGAGAATGTTCAGGGGCCAGACAGAAAGGTTGTCTGCTTTGTCCACATGCGGGTATTCTGGGAAAGCTGTTTTCATGTTTTCTTCTCATGTGCTGCTCTCCCCAGACAGATGCCTGCTCTGGCTTGCAAGGCTTCCTGATTTTCCACAGTTTTGGGGGAGGCACTGGCTCTGGCTTCACGTCTCTGCTGATGGAACGCCTCTCCCTGGATTACGGCAAGAAGTCTAAGCTGGAGTTTGCCATCTACCCAGCCCCCCAGGTGTCCACTGCAGTGGTCGAGCCCTACAACTCCATCCTGACCACGCACACCACGCTGGAACATTCTGACTGTGCTTTTATGGTGGATAATGAAGCCATCTATGACATCTGCCGCAGGAACCTAGACATCGAACGCCCCACCTACACCAATCTCAACCGCCTCATCAGCCAGATCGTCTCCTCCATCACCGCCTCTCTCCGCTTTGATGGGGCCCTCAATGTAGACCTCACCGAGTTCCAGACCAACCTGGTGCCCTACCCCCGCATCCACTTCCCACTAGTCACCTACGCACCCATTATTTCTGCTGAGAAAGCCTATCATGAACAACTCTCCGTGGCTGAAATAACCAGCTCCTGCTTTGAGCCCCACAGCCAGATGGTGAAGTGTGACCCTAGGCATGGCAAGTACATGGCCTGCTGCATGCTCTACCGTGGGGATGTGGTGCCCAAGGACGTGAATGTCGCCATCGCTGCCATCAAGACCAAGCGGACAATCCAGTTTGTAGACTGGTGTCCCACAGGCTTCAAGGTGAGACTGAGGACTGAGGGAGAAGGTAGATGACTAGAGAGGCGGAGGTGGATTAGAAGGATGGGAAGGTGTGTCAATGCCAGGGTCTTGGGCTGATATACAGTTCTATGGACGCTTCAGGCTTTGGGGATGATAGGGGAAGAGGGGCCTAAGCCAAGGGTCACATTAATTTCATTCATTTGTTCATTCATTCATTTATTCACTCAGTCATTTATTTTGGGTAAGGAGGGACTTTATTTTAAAGGATTATTGACAGAAGGGGAGGGACACTATTGCGATAAGAGAAGGCTCCTACAACTCAGACCTTAAGGTCTGCAAGCATTTCAAAAGTCAGGCAGGAAAGGTCATTTGTTTTATAGGGAGGAAGAACCTGTGTGGTGAGTGGGATGAACAGGCTGAATGGGTGGAGGTAGCTGTGACCTGGCAATAGATCAGAAAATGAAGTTCACCAAATTATTCAAGTTGCCAAAGAGATGTAATTCCTTCCTCTTAACAAAAGATGTGTTCTCCCAATTTATTGTGAAAAATTAAATGTTCACCCTGTGAGTCTTAATCAATTTACAGTAAGGCTAACACATTTTTTTAAGACTTTTTATTGGGGAATTTGAGGAGGGGAATAGCATTGGGGAATCAAGGAAGGGGAACAGACAAGTTGCCGCCCTTTTGTTCTTCAGTGTAGTTGTGGAGGACATCACTTCACTGGCCCATTTTGGTATTATCATTGCGTTCTTTCTGGGTGAGGCAGATCAGTCGCCGGCCACTGGATGGCCACTCACGGCGGCCCTTGGCAGCTCATGCCGGCAGCCGGCTGCTCATGCTGGCTGCCAGCCACTCACAGTAGCTTATGGCAGCCCACAGCAGCCCCACTGCAGCCTCACTGCAGCCTACGCCATCACCGGCGACTCACGGCAGCCTAGCTCCAGGTGGAGCTGTTGTTCACCATCTTAGCTGTAGAGGGCACAGCATCACTGGCCCATGTGGGATCTGAACCGGGGCCCTGATGCTCAGAGCTGGTGTCCCAAGCCAGCTCTTAACCAACGCGCCACTTGGCCGGCCCAAGGCTAACACATTTTATGGTTACACATGATTGTGAATCACTTATACTGTGAAGCCCTGACATTTTCCATTAGCCAGGAGTAAGCAGAAACTGAGACCTGTTGTGGAACAGTTGTCTGCAGTCTGGAAAGTGCCAGACTCTAAGGGTCGTAGGGAGACACAGAATACCCAGGGAAGACCCCTGGGTCTCAGGGCTGACTGAGTGCTGAATGAAGCAAGCCTCTGAGTTGTACTGGTAAGGCATGCAGCTGGCTCTGTGCATGTGAACTGCTTGGTCACTTTGTCCTGTGGTCCATGGTCTTTATTTAATCATATTCTACCATCAAAATAACTACCACCATTTACATTAATTGGTACCCCCAGTCATGCTTTTAATAATTCGGAGGTTACTGAGCACCAGATGTGGTTATATTAGTTGCTGGAGACAGAGATGGGCACGTCTCAGCTTTTCCTTGGTGGGACTTTTAAAAACAAGGCTCTGTACTCCAGTGTCTCTGAACTATTTGCCCTTAAAGCTGTGACTTAGCTGATCTGCTGAGTAAGGGAGAGTAGCATTCTTCCTTACTGCTCCACTCCTAGCTACGTACATAATCTTTTTCCCTAGACTGTGTCTATATTTATGTGGCAGTTGTGGTCATTCTTGCAAAAACAGTCAAGATCTTCCCAAAAATGTGGTTCTTTTTTCTTTCAAATGGAAACAAACAACAAAACATGCTAATAGGAAAATGAATAGGGAAAAAGTAGGGGAAAAAAGATTTGAGGGTGGTGGGGAAATTAAAATAAAAGGAGATGCACCCTCATTCTCTCTACTTCATTTTAAGTTGAAGCTCTGGAATTGTCTAGAAAGAAGGTGGTGGCAGCAACATGAGCTACTTTTCAGAAAAGCACATACTGTTGGGTGGCTGTTGTTGAACGTCCTCCTCTTTCATCCTCCCCAAAGGTGTTTGTCTCCACCTAACTTAGGCTAAGGGATATTACTGTTCAAAACAGAGGAAAGTTGGTTCTAGGCACGTAGTTTTTGCTGGTTAGGGCCAGATCTAGCCAAATCTGTCATGTGGTAGAGTTCATTTTCATTGCCCTCCCCCTTTTCATTTTTGGTTCTTTGCCCCTATCTTGGCATCACCTTTATCACCAAGACGCCACTTCTGTCTAAGGAACAATGAAACCTTGTGAACCCACTTAATGGGTTATCCTCCTAGCTGTACAGCCTGCTGCCATGCCCACCTTTACCTCTTAAGAGGATATGTGTCTAAAGCTATGAATTTAAGGTATTGGCAAGTAAGGCATGGTCACCTGGGTAGAAAAGGTATTTTTTGGACCATGCATCTCAGTGTCCCAATCGTATTATCACAGTTGTCACCTTAGACTTCTTCCAGTTTTTTTTTTTTTTAAGATTTTTTTATTGGGAAATTGGGGGGATGGGAACAGTGCTGGGGAATTGGGGAAAGGGGAACAGACAAGTTGCTGTCGTTTTGTTCTTCAGTCTAGTTGTGGAGGACGTTGCTTCACTGGCCCAAGTTGGCACCATCATTGCGCTCTTCTCTGGCGAGGCAGATCAGTCGCCGGCTTCTGGACGGCCGCTCACTGCGGCTGCTGGCCGCTCACGCTGGCTGCTGGCCACACACGGCAGCCCATGGCAACCCACTGCCACAGGGACTGCAGCCCACGCCGTCGCCGGCGACTCATGGCAGCCCAGCTCCAGGTTGTTCAGCATCTTAGCTGTGGAGGGCAGTGTCACTGGCCCTCATATGTGGGATCCGAACCGGGGCCCTCTGGCATCCCAAGCAAGTTCTCAACCATCGCGCCACTCGGCCGGCCCTCTTCCAGTTTTTGATAGTTCCCGAGGTTGGTTTTGGTTGGGCAATGTGTGTGGGGAAAGAAATATTTCTAGTATACTAGCCCCACTGTCATACTGGGCTGCATTACCTTGGTGGACCCTGCCATGCTACCAGAACTGGGAAGTAGGCTCGTCCAGGCAAGAATTTTAGCTAACTTTCTTTGATTGGAGTCCTTGCTTTTCTTTCCAAGAAGTCCCTCCCCAGAGACATAGGATCTGGTTAATACTAACACCATAGCTAGGGCCTTTTGATTCTGTTAATTTATTGCTCTGGAATAGCTCAATAACCTTTCAAACAGCTCTTCACCCTTGGCAGAGAAACTTCTCTAAATTTATTGACAGCACAACTAAGAGAAACTTCAGATTTGGGTAAGAATAAATTTTATAATAACTTCAAGTCTACAAGTTAATTTGACTCTCCAAGGGAACTTATTTCCCTTTTAGAGACAAACATGTATTGTACACTTCCCCCTTAATAATCTCACCTATTATCCTTATTTGTCTACTTGAATCTTCCCACTAACATTTCTATTATCAGCCCTGTTCTCTTCCTCTCCAGTCTTTAGATTCCCTTGAATTTGGCTGTACCCCAATCCTACTCACTTTGATTTTCTCTTCAGCACTCCCCTCTCTCTATTTTCCAGCTTCCCAACCTCCTGATTCCCTCTTTTCACCTCCAGCCCTGCATCCTGCTCCCATGCCTGCAATCCTGTCTTGCTACCACACCACTTAACAAAGATGACCCATCTTGAGTTATCCTTTGGCTGCCCTACATTTTGTTTTGTTGCTGTTCCTCTTTTTTTGTTCCCCAGGTGGGCATCAACTACAAGCCCCCCACTGTGGTGCCAGGAGGGGACCTAGCCAAAGTCCAGCGAGCTGTGTGCATGCTGAGCAACACCACGGCCATCGCAGAGGCCTGGGCACGCCTGGACCACAAGTTTGACCTCATGTATGCCAAGCGGGCCTTTGTGCATTGGTATGTTGGAGAGGGAATGGAAGAAGGAGAATTTTCTGAGGCCAGGGAGGACCTGGCTGCCCTGGAGAAGGATTATGAAGAAGTAGGGACTGATTCATTTGAAGAAGAAAATGAAGGGGAGGAATTTTAAATATACACGTTCCTCTTGGCTGTGTCTCTTTATTTATGCTGCTCCACTCTAAGCACACTTAACTCTTCTAAGAATAATAGCTATGCTCCCAACACCAGCCTGATTTCTGTCTTATGTAGGAAGAGAGTGTCCAACACCAGTACCTGTGGGTGACTGGGTTGAAAATGGATGCTGAGCTCTGTCAGATTCTCCCTTGGGTAAAAGCAGCTTTGTGTCACTAAAGAACATGAGAGTCCCTGTCTCTGGGATAGCGTGAAGCCAAGTTACATGTGTGAGGAGGCCTAATCAGGATTTTAAATTCTAGATTAGGTCCATCCCAAAACATAGCCTGCTGGCTGGGGAATGGCAAAACACTAGGGAAAGGAAAGATCTAGGCATTGGGAAGTGAGTGGTACTGTTTTAAGAGCTGGAGAGTTAGTGAGAAATAAGACGAACACATGTTCTCTCCCTATAAACACACAAAGAAACAAATGAGGTAATTTCAGATAGTGTTAAGTGACATAAAATAAACCAACAGTGGTGAGAGAAAGCACCCCGGGGAATGCTCCTTGCTCTTGGGTTGCCAGAGAAGGCCTCATGGGAACCTGAATGAAGAAAGAGCCATCATGGGATGTTCTAAAGGCGGGATGCTGGGCACAGGGCAAAAACACAGATGTGAGAACAAGCTTGGAGTTTCTGAAGAACAAAATGGAGTCAGTGTGCCTGGAGGATGGTGAAAGATGAAAGTGAGACCCAAGAGCCAAGCAGGGGTCAATCAGAGCATGCTCAGTCTTACAGACCATGGTAAGGAGTTTGAAGTTTTCTGAAGTGAAACAGAAGCAGTGGAAGGTTTTATGTGGGCTATCAACTATACTTTCTATCATACATACCTTATCTCTAATCCTCCTAACAATCTCAAAATGGATGTTCTCATTTTGTAGATGAAGAACCTGAGGTTTAGAGAGTTTGTGTTAGAGACAGTAAGAGATGGTGTTCAGACAGCAGGAATCACCAATTCTGTTCTCTTGTCTACCCTACATTGTTTTCATTCCTTAGTATTGGGGTCAGGCTCCAACTGCTGCCTTATAAAATGCCAGATGGAGGGAAACAAAAGTTTATATCATTTACAAAGGAGAGGACATCTCTTGAGTTGGCAGCTCTGGTAGGCTTTTAGGAAAAAGTCAAGATTGTTCTTATTAGACTACTGGTTAGCTATCCAGGGTTGGGCCCATAGTAGGTCCCTATGCATTAAATGTGTAATTTAATTGTACAGTAATTGTCGACTATTCCTAAATGTTTCTATTCGACATTCTTCGGAAGCCCTGCAAAAAATAGAATAAAATGTTCTAAGAAGATTGGGCAACAAGTGATGCTAATCACTTCTAGAGGATTTTCAGAGACTACACTTTCTTGTTCTTCTGGGAAGGACATCATGGTGCTAAAAAAGGGAAGTCCAGATCTGCTGTCCATTGTGACCTCCCTTGCCTGAGATCATTCCTGCACCAAATTCCACAGGTGTCTACATGGACAAACTGAGCTGTATTAGAGATTGAGGGTCAGGAGCTGTCAGCCCCATATCAAGATGGGGCATATTCCCTCTTGAAGAATCCAGGCATATACTCCTGGATTTCAGATAAGCCTCAAAGGACTTCCTGAGTGTATAACTATGACATAATTAGGGAGAGAATAACATACCCCTGAGACCAGGGTTAGGGCTAGGGTAAATCACTTAATGGTGAGTTCCTTTCCTCCACATTTATGTGAATTAGTTTAAAATAAACTTGAATGGCAAAGTCACAGAAGTGATGGCCTGAGAGGTGTGAGTGAAGGGCTGGGCTGTGGGACAGTGTGAGCAGTGGTATATAAGAGCCTGGGATGCATTTTACCCCAGTTTCTCCTTTTCCATTTTTCCTCATTTGGCTGAATCCCTGTCCAGCCAAGGGGTTGGGCACCTTTAGCCCTGCTCAGCTTTTATGGCTCTGTTCATGAAGTTGGAGCATTGAATTTTAGAATTGGAGATAATTGTCCCTAGAAAGAAGGTAATAGGGAGTGAGTGATTCTCTACCATTCCCTGAGATAAGGCAGCTTCATAATTCTTTCTCTAGCATGGGGTTGGATAGAGGCTTCATAAAACAAGTTTGGCAGATGCTTGATAAGAGAACTGTGCAACAGTCTCTGGTAGGTTGCTTGTTTAGCTCATTGGGCTTGTAGTCTGGATTATTCAGTTTCTTGAATCCTAATGCCAGCACTTAAGAACCCCTAAGTAATTTCGACTTATAAAACAAAGTCATTTTTACTTTTTAATATTTTACCCCAGGAATTAGAAGAGTTCATAGTTAACATGTGAAATCTGCATGGATATTCATATATATCCCTCGCTCCAATATTGGTGGTCCTGGGTCCTGGGTTCTCAACAAGGGACAGACCTGAAGCATTTTGACAGTAATCAGCTTATGTTTCAAAATGAACCTACTAAGGAAGAAGGTAGTATGTTTATCTTCTGCAGGTTCTATTAGCAATTTGATCAGCATTTACATTTTCTCTGACACAAAGTTGTCACTAGTTTCACTATTCTGAGTTTTTAAGGATCACTGGGTCAACCCCAGTGGAATTGCCTTTCCTTATTACAATGCGAATCTAAAGGGGTAAAAAATTTCCCTTTTTCTGTTGTTAGTCTAAACTTTCTACATTAAACAAACAAAACCAACCCAGTTCTATAATTACTTTTTTTAAAGGTCTTATGACAAATTTATAACATTGACCATTTTTTTTATTTTTTATTTTTATTGGGGAACAGCCATGGTCATTGGTTACACATTGCTTTCATGCTACAATGGCATAGTTGACTCTTTTAAGGAGGGCACAGCTCACAGTAGCCCATGCGGGTATCAAACCGGCAACCTTGGTGTTAGCAGCACCACACTCTAACCAACTGAGCTAACTGGTCACCCCAACATTGACTGTTTTAGGGAAGATGAAAGTGAGAGAGTGAGTGGGGCAAAAAGGGAGGAGATCAATAGTGATAGTAATTACATTTTGTAGTGATTAGAGACATCCATCGTTCTCTTATGCAACAGAATCCCCAAGAGATAAGGTGAGTCCTCACTGATACACATTTTTTCATGAGGATGCAGAATGGCACTCCTTGTGTGACCTTTCATATATTTGGTGCTTAGAAACTGAAGGCTAAAATGTAAGGCTGTTTGTTTGGCTCATGGTTAATGAGATAGAACATGGTCTCTCTAAGTAGGTTCCACAATCTTGCACTGGGGGGAAGATTGATCTTTCTTATAAATGTCAGTGCAAAAATCTATAGCAAAATATGAGCAAACAGAATCCATACCACATTAAAAATTATAGCACAACCAAGAGGGATTTATTCTAGGAATTCAACCACAGTTCAGTATTAGGAATTTCATCAGTCTTAAAGCAGCATGTTAATGGGGAAACACAAGAGGCATTCTACAAAGATCAAGAACATGGCAAGGTTGAAGAAAGCCTAGTATTACCACAGCTGTTTAAATTGTATTATATATTGTGGAATTAGGTAAGAAAATAATTAGGAGAGAATAATTGGAAATGAAGAAGTAAAACTATCTCCATGTATGGATGACGTGATGGTACACTTGGAAAATCCTATGCAAAAAGACTAAATAGTTCAGTAAGGTAGCAGGGCATTAAATTAACTTCCCAAAATGAACAGCTTTCATTTTACAGACACAATAACCAGGTAGGATACAGTGGAAGAGAAAGACTTCATTTACAACAGCAACAAAAAGAGAAATACTTATAAATAACAACAAAATATATTCAGAAGCCTTTATGAGAAAAATTTTAAACTCCAAGACATACAAGTAGACTTGAGAAAATTTAAAGACATACTTTATTATTGGGTAGTAACTCTCAACAAAATAAACATGTTATTCTAAGTTAATTTATAAATTTAATGTAACCCAATAAAAATGTCCATGACTAAAAAAACAAAAACAAAAAATCAAACCCCCTTATTGTGAAATAATTATAAATTCTAAGAAGCTGTAAAAATAGTGCAGTGAGGTTGAGTGTACCCCTAACCCAGTTTCCTTTCATGATTGCAGTTTACATAATATCAAAACTAGGAAAGTGACATTAACACAATGTGTGTGTGTATCTCACTGCCATTTTAGGTTTAACTACCATGCCAATCAAGATAAGAAACTCTTCCAGCATCACAAAGATCTCTCTCCTGCTATCCCTTACATCCATATTCATGTCCCTCCTCAGCTACCCTTAACCATTGGCAACCACTAATCTGTTTTCTGTCTTCATAATTTTGTTACTTTGAAAATGTTATATAAATGGAATTGTATAGTGTGCAAGTTCCCCTTTGTTCCTAGTTTTCTAAGAGTTTTAAATTATGAACAAGAATTGAATTTTGTTAAATGCTTCTTCTGCATCAATTGATATGATCATGTGATTTTCATCTTTAGCTGGCTAATATGGGGGATTACATTGATTTTTTTAAAAAAGTTTTTATTAAAAATATAGCTAACATATATATAAAATATAACATAACATATATCAGCTTCAGGCATACACCATAGTTTTTCAACATTTATGTACCTAAAGAAGTGATCACCATAACTCCAGCAACCATCTGATACGATACCACACTGTCACAATATTATTGACTATATTCTCTATGCTGTACACTACATCCCCATGACTTATTTATTTTATATCTAGGAATTTGAACTTCTTATTCCCCTTCACCTTCCCCCTCCCTTTTTAAAGTTTTCAATTACAGTTAACATTCAATATTATATTAATTTCAGGTGTATAGCATAGTGGTTAGACATTTATATAATTTAAGAAGTGATCCCACTGACTAGCCTAGTACCCACCTGGTACTATACATTGTTGTTACCATATTATTGACTATATTCCCTATGCTTTACATCCACATGACTATTT